AAAAGCAGACAGAACACGCCCTGCGCCGTACGTAGTAGTAGTAGTAGTAGTAGTAGTAGTAGTAGTGGTAGTGGTAGTGGTAGTGGTAGTGGTAGTGGTAGTAGTAGTAGTAGTAGTAGTAGTAGTAGTAATAGCAGTAGCATGAGCAGCAACAGCAGGACCAGCAGGAGTGTAGCAGTCGTCGCGGTAGTCGAGTCGCAGTCGTAGTAGTAGCTCGAGTCGTAGCAACGCTAAAGATGGTAGTCACTCGTGTTGTCGTCGACGAAGACATCACAATGGTGGTGGTCGTGGTCGTCGTAGTCGTAGTGGTTGTGGAGGTCGTGGAGGTCGTGGTATTAGTACTAGTAGTAGTTGTTGTGGTGGTGGTGGTAGCAGCAGTGGCGATAAGCAAGAGAGCAGCCGCAGTCACAGTAGCAAAGTAGTTGGCCGCAGATGAGAGAGGAGGTGTCGTTGCAGTAGTCGTTCCGCGTCAGCATTACTCGCGGTCACCTATCACCAGCTAGTAGTAGATAGTGGTAGGCCGTAAGTAGAAGTTATGGTAGCACAAGCAAACAAGCAGCAGGAAGCTTGTTATTCTTATTGTGGCTGTTCCTATTTCTGCTATTGTTGTCGCGACTAATAACCCCCAAAACCCTCTAATCCTCAAAAGCCCAAAAGCCCAAAAACCCTAAACCCCTAAACCCCTAAGCCCGACACCCACAAAGAAAGGCCCTAAACCCCATGGGAGCCCATATCAATTTCGAGGGCCTTTGCCATTATGCTGAACTCCGACCTCCAGATCGAGCTGCCATGCCCTCGGCCTTTCATTCCTGAATGAAACTATGGTATACGGTCTTATATTGTGGTCTGATATATATATATATATATCTATGTATATATATATATATATAGATATAGATATGTATTTCTTTATTGTGTATCATAGAATCTTATCATGCCTTAAGAAGATATAGTATAGGACAGCATATCATATCGTATTAGGGACTAGTGTTTAGGGGTTGGGTCGTTTTTAGGATTCAGGACATGTAAGTCGAATCTGAGAGGCAAGCTGGGAAGTGTTTGGTGCATTTCTTTGAGATGCTTCTCAGAGCCACAGAAGGTATACCGTTTTCCCAGAGATGCGACAACCACACACGGCTTCGAACATTTAGGGATGTTTTGCAGGGCTTTCCCAAAACGTACTTGACCCCCCAAACCCTAAACCCTAAACCCTAAACCCTAAACCCTAAACCCTCACTCGATGAGGCCGGCGAACATGCCTCTCAAGTCCTTCGAAGAGGGGGCGAATCAGCAGATCCTCACGCAGGCCGTAAGCTTCCAGCTGCGTGTGGTGATATATGAGTCTAAATAGTTACCAATATTTTTTTGGGGGGGTTCCTTATTATAGTTATATTGTAATGTACCCCAAAACCCTATTCTAATTATTAAGGTTTCAACATTAGGTGCCGCTGGTCTTCGGAAAAGGAGTCCAGTCAGTTCAGTCTTGAGGGAAGCTTGCACGGGTTGCAAGCAGGATCCAAGAAAAAACCACGCTTCAGACTTCAGACGCTGGCGAACGAGTAGCCGTCACCCTCCATGGTGCATCGGCGTCAGAACGTCAAGTGGCTCCGTTGACCACATGGGGGTTTCCGAAAATAGGGGACCCTAATATAGTACCCTAAATAGTAGGATCCTTATTATAAGGAGCCCAAAATAAGGTACCCCTAATTTTTTGGAAACTGCCACATCCCTAATTCAAGCGTTGGCCCTAAACCCTGAACCCAGGCCCAGCAGACCCAAAGAGGCGTTTCTGTAGGTTTGGGAACCTGAAGAGCAAGCAGCGGGCGGGGTGGATGTGTCAGGCCACTAGTGCTTGGGGCTTAAGAGTTTAGGCTTGGGGAGTTTAGGGTTTCGGAACGTTTACGATCCTACTCTGCAGTTTGTGGGGCAACATCGCTGCATGGCCAAATCATTGCCCCTCTGCGGCGTGGGTGACATCCCCTGCAGACAGTCCGCAGACAGCAGTTGGATAATGGTTGAAGAAAGAAGCGGCATTCAGCGATGAGGAACTAGTGGATCACACTTGGCCCCGCTGCAGCCTTGCACCCTAAGATCGCCTCAACACTCACGAACAACCTCAAGCCTGTACCACAAGCTTTCGAAGCGGCAACGCTTGCCGAAAGAGGACTGGAAGTGTGATCATGCAAGCAAGGAGAGACAGAAAACGTGCGCTCGCACTGTTGGTTTAGTTGTTCAGGGGTTAACCGGGGTTATAGCCTATGGGTTCAGGGCAACCTAACCCCAGCTTAATCCCAAAACCCTACTTCTAACCTGCAGGTCTTCCTGAACTGGCTTCCCTTGGAGATGAAGTTGGAGAATTACATGCGACCACTCTTCTCAGCAGTCGGAGCAGCTACCTCAGCCTGCTCTCGGTGTTGGAGTCGCCCATGGGAGCTAGGATTAGGGGGGCCCTTGGGGATATAGACCCTCTCAATAAGATCCCTTTAAGAGAGCCAAAAGTAGGGTTCAGAAGGGGTACCCTTTAAGGGGTACCCCTAATAATACTACCTAGCCCATCTACAGACCGAGAAGGCCCCAAGGTGAGATGCTGCGGGTTCAGGGTTTTTTTCGGGACTTTAAGCATATCCAATACTATTTTTTCTTTTTTTTTTTTGGAGGGGGGGGGNNGTATAGCGGGCCCCAACACCCTATTCCAATTATCAAGGCCCTACATTCGGGTGCGCCCATGTCTGCAAACCCAGGGTGGTGAGCTGGAGTACGTCTTCGAAGACAAGTCTCAGTATTGGGCCGACTCGACGGCACCGCTCTCAACTTTGCTGAAGTCTTCAGGTGTGTCTCTTTCCCGCTGACTGATGCCGCCTTACGGTTTGAGGATCTAGGTTCTAGAGGTGTTAATCTGTTCCTTTATCTGTCTGGTCCAGTCGGTATGAGCCTATCTCTTTCACTCATTCACGGCCTTTGAGTCCAAGCCACTCCGGCTATCGAAGCGGTCCAGAATATCTACCAGGAATTGCCCTTCACAGGCCTTTCAATACATCAACTAAGGAGATCTTCCTGCCCTACCTGCCCTATTTCAGCAACTGCCGTGGCTTCGGGCGCACGATTCCGTGGGGGAGCCTGGTATCTGCTTGTCGGAGAGCCTCGGATGTAGAAACATGTGGCAGTGAACTATTTAGAGCGCGAAGCCGTAATCTTTACACACAAAAAGAAAGATGCATGTATATGTGTAGGTATATGCATCGTCACATATAAACCACATATAAACCTGTATTGGTTGTAGAGGGGAAGACAAACATGTGTGCACGTTAATAATGTTAATTACTTGTCTTGGAACTGTTAATTGTTACTCCTGCTGCTGCTGCGGCCGCTAGTGCTACAGTGATGGTACCTGTTGTCCTGCTCCTTCCGCTGCTACGACTACGAGTACGACTACGACTACGGCTACTGCTGCTACGGTTGCTGCTGGTGCTGCTGCTGGTCGCGCTATTGCTACTGCCACTGCGACGACGACGAAGACGACGATTACAACTGCCACCGATACGACGGCGGCGGCTCCTCCTACTGCGACTACGACATTGTTGCTATTCCATCGAAGGGAACAGACATGCATACAAATTTGTGCGTGTATGTATGTATATATACACTCACAGATGCCTGCTTGAATATGTATACATACGTACGTACATACATACAGAAACACAGGCTGACATACTAGTCCAGGGTTTCAGACCTTCCAAGCGGCTTGCTGAGGCTGTGGGCGATCACTGAGCAGAACGGAGGCTGCCTGATTCCTCGCAGCGTTTAGGGCCTTTTAGGGTTTCGGGCAGGGCTCTTCCAGGACTTCCAGCGCCGGAGTGCTTGTGGTGTGTAGCAGGCAACGTATGAGGCTCGTAAGACCAGAGCTTTGCGGTTGAGACGGCTAAGAGCTTTGGGGTTTATAGTTTAGGGAAGCGGCAAGGCAAAGCAACATGATAAGTTGCTATGTGGCACTTTCTACGACCCTTTTGGGGTGCACCGGGACTGCCTCGGGGCTACTGAACTCCTTGAGCACACTGACCAATAAACCCTACATCCGAAATCCCTAAATCCTACGCCCCTGAGCTTGGCGAGGTTGCCAGTGGGCTCCCATTGGTGGCGAGATTGGGCTCCTATCACTCGGTAGCCAGGCCGTGTGTTCCACTGCCGCGCTCGCCAAAGGGCGTTTTGTGCTTCGGTTTTGGAGATTTGTGTTTAAGGTTTAAGAGTCACGGGTGAGGGGGTTTAGGTGCAGCAAGAGCCTCCGCCACGTCCGAAGATCGCGCCAGTAGACTTTCCTGCAGGTTTGTTTGGGATGCTTACTTACCCTGTCGTTTGCTACTGTTGCCAATCAAGGATGCACTACCGCCTGTTGCTGTACCACGCGATCAGTACAGTCAAGGCAGTGATGAGCCACAATGCTTCTGCATCGCAGGCCATGGGCGACTCTTGCTCTTTCACGCAAGTGGACTGCATCCTGGACGAGGCCATTCAACGGTTGAGCATGTTGTGCTTTTGGTTTTGGGGGATGGGTCTCGCTGCACTGCTGCCCTGAGTTACCACGGTGAGCATGCACAAACCCTCAGCCAGGCCCAGTTCGTCGGATTCCACTGGGAAGATCATCCGGAGTGCATTCCCAGAAGTGGCCTTGCGAGTGTTGCCAGGTGCCATCGGTCCGCTTGTCGAACCCACGCTGGTTCGAAGCTGCCACTGGCACCAGACTTTTCGATGTCACCAAGGACCGGGCAGCATGAAGGTGGCATGCCTTGTAGAGTCCACTGTGAGATATCATGCAGCATGCTCTCCGGTCTAATGCTGCAATCACGATCTGAGCTGCCGCTCAATACATGATTCTGAACCCGGCCTATACCCTGAACCGCGGTTGTGTCTCCCCGTCCAGAAGCAGAAGCTTTCTTTGCCCCATCGCGACATAGTCACAATCCTGTTTCAGCTGCCCACTCAGCAGTCATCATACATTTTTCATTGGGAAGGGCAGTGTGCCCTCATCCTTTGGCCCTAGTTAAGCCCTGAAAATTCGACATCCGCTAATAGGGCCAAAACCTGCGTTCCATCAACACCCCAAAGCCTACAACCCGAAGCCCCTGAACTCCGCCCTAACGCCCCAAAACGCATGAAGCCCTAAAGCCCGTAAGGTCTATAAACCCCTAAAGCCCGTAAACTTCAAAACTTCACATCAAAGAGCCCTGCATTCCTCAGACCCTTACAGCCTCCAACCCTAAACCATAAACCCTAAGCCTTGAACCCCTAACCCCAAACCCTAACCTCTAAACCCCTAAACCCCTAAACCCCAAACCTTCAAAAGAGGCACCAGAATACGGATCGTAACATGTATGACTGGGTTAAAGTCAGGTTCGCCGTTCTTCGGAAAATTCTAGATGCCTTTCCTCATTGTGGGATATTCTAATGTAGGGACCTCAACAATTACCTACATTCCGGCCCGTGGATTCATGCTTTGAGGGACACGGAACGGCTAAGGTTTAGGGTCGGTAGTTAGGAGCTGTCTGTGTCAGGATGCCAGCTTGCCAGCGAAGCTGACACCAAGCTGCAGCCAGTTCCGATGTTGTTTCGCAATCCTGCTACAGAACCCCGAGTCTCACGTGGGCTCTTATGTCAAGATCTCTATTTGGGGTTGTTGTTAGACCTGTACCTTAAGTTCTACACCCCTGACCATCTCGACACCCTAAGGTTGAAGGGCTTCAGACTTTAAGTATTTAGGGCTTCAGGGTTAAAGGGTGTTGGGTTTGGGACTTCGTCCTGCGTGACTCACTGCAATTGGGCAACAGGATGAAACCGACGTGGGCCATGATTGCACTGCCCGAAAAGATGCGACACAACAAGGTAAGTATGGTATCTTTCTCTTCCTTTCTTGCCCCGATGGCTGTAGTCGAGCATCATACCCTCAGAATCTAAATCAAATTGCTCTAGTCCCCACCCGGAACACCCTGTACCCCAAAACCCATGCATAGATCTAGTCAGGCTGACAGCCCCTAAACCTCTAAACCTCATCCCATCCCTGGATACGCTGGACGAAGTAAACACCAACAGCCTCCACCCAAGGCCTAGACCTAGAAGGTTACTACCAGCGCACTGTAGCATTTATGAAGATCTTCAGAAGAGTAATCTGGGGACCTACATAATCACCAATACTATTTTGGGGGCTCCTTATTATAGTTATAGTATAGGATGAAGGCCTCTACATTACCATAGGGTCACTCCCCCTTCCTCAGGAACAACTGGGGAGACGATCCGGTCCCGGTCACAGAGCCCGCCGAGAGCTCGGGCCAACAGCAGCGGAATCGACAAAAAGCCATAAATTCACAGACATGTAGTTTCAATTGTATAACAACCAGGTAGGCTTACGAATATATGGGAAGATAAAGATGTACATGCACATGTCTCTGTCCAATCTGTCGGTCTGCCATAGTGTTGCTTTCACGCTCATTACATGCACATTATCATTCAAAGGAATACGGGCTGCGATTGCTAAAATGTCCTATCGGTTCCTTCGTGTTTCCGTGTGTATCTGCTGCATCCGAACTTCTTGTCCTTTGAGCAGCTCTCAAGATGTGAACATGTGCACGAGCGAGACGTAATGACATCAACAAGATCAACGACTGGACCGATGTCGTTTCTCCGTTAGTTTGTAACGAATAGCAATTCTCGCCCGTATGATTAAGGCAGAACGCGAACAAGCAATACTCTTCTAATCACATATGCCCAAGATGCTCGAATCACATATGCCTAAGATGCTCGAACCAGCATGTAACCTAAACACTGGATTGAGCTGTTGCCCGAGCACAGAACGGCAAGAAGGTAAATCAAGGGCTAGCAGCTTGCACAAATATACATGTATGAATGAATGTACGTACGCGTACTCACATGCATGCATATATGCATACATTCATGCATGCATGCATGAATACCTATACCTGCGCCACCCTGCCTGCCTGCCTTCCTTCCTCCAATGCACGTGTATACACACGTACATCCATATATGCTTACAGACGTATGTACGTACGCACATGCTACATGTAAATAAATGTGTGTGTGTGGATGCATGTATGTAGGTGAGTGTGGCTGTATGATGTATGCATGTACACTCAGACGCCAAAGCACACACATGAATCCAATACATACCTATATATATATATATACATATATAATATACACACGTACACTTTCATCTGTGCATGAAATATAGATCGAACAGTCCTCTAGCAGAGACTCTCCGTCAGCTCAGCCCAAAGATTTAAACCCTAAAAGCCCTACGTTATGACTCAGATGGGGGTTGGTCTCTATCAGGGCTCCGCTTAAGGTTCGTCCAGTCGTGACTCGAATGGAGCCCTCAACCCCACATGCCTGAGACCAATAAGCCCCGAAGCCGTAAATCTCTAAAGGGAGCCCCAAAGCCCCCAAACATCTAAATATTAGACTCCCTGAACCCAAACCCCCCAAACCTCTAGTAGTCTTTGAACCTACATAACCCTAAACCCTGAACTGGACCCTCAAACCCTAAACCCTGAACCTTAAACCCTAGAACCCTAATCCCAAAAAGCCCCAAAAAGTGACCAACCCTAGAATCCCTAGAGCCCTAAACCCAAAAATGCCCCAAAAGAGACCCTGAGGTCTATCTGCAGCGAGGCATTCCGGAGTCGGCTGGGGCCTCAATTCGGCAGCTGTTTGGGGTAGGGTTGGGGGGTTTAAGGTTTGGGGTTTAGGGGTTTAGGGTTTCGGGGGCTCCTGAAGAAGGGACCTATAAATCTAACCGATGGCTACAGAAACTAAACTCCAAAAAGGGAATGGGGGCTCCTGAAAAAGGGACTTATAAATCGAACCGATGGTTACAGAAACTAAACTCCAAAAAGGGAAGTCTAGTTAATGGAAGAAGTCTGGCTAATGGAAATACACCCAAAAATGGAAGTTTGGTGAATGGAACATATGATGTCGTATAAAGTATAAACCCAGGTTGTTGAAGATTCTATCCCTGTGTTGGATCCAAGGGGCTTCTAGTTGAAAAGGGATCCGTAATGTTGGGGACAGAGGCAGGGCATCAGTGGAAGTGGGGTTGAGGCCTTTGGTGCTGCGGGGTTTAGCTGCATGGGTTTCGGACCTAACGTGTCGCCGGCCCTCTTTGTCTTTATCCGTGCCGAATTGACAACAGTGTCTTCGTTGTAACAATTCGTTGTAGTGGATGTAGTCCGATTGTACCTTTTTTGGGGTGCCGATATGGATTCGCTCTTTCGGATGTCGTCGGGGTGGACGTTGCTGTGGGTCTGGCTGTCTTAAACGTCAGTGTTTCGAAGTTGTGGATGCTCAGTCGGATGCATTCGTCACACGAAAGCATTGCGGTGGGTTTGGGGATTTCGGGACTTAGGTCTTCTGAGCGTTCCAGCGCTGAGGATGATTTGGGGTTGCGGCCTTGAGGTTCCGGGGGTTAAGGTGTATGAGCACCCAAGTCTTCAAGTTGGGCTTCCCAGCCTGGGGTTTGCAAAGCTCAGGCGTTCAGTGCCATGGTGCATCATCAAAGCAGCATTAAGCAGCCCCAAAGCTAGATAGATAGACAGGTGGGTTGGTTGATAGATAGCTAAGCAGCTAGATACACAGGTCAACATGCATGTACGCGTGGCAGTGTTTAGTTCATGTAGACTATGTGTTGTTTCCCCTTTTATGTGTACTGGACGTAGACTATCCAAACTGGCAAAAACATCGTGTCTCCTGGTCAGGGCGCTCTGCCACAAAAAGTGACCATCGCCTTCCAGTACTGGTCGTGCTCTCGGTTTGCCTTTTGGCATTTTGGGTTCAGGGATGAGACTTGAGGTTTAGGACTCAGAGAGCTTGAGCCGTATAGTGGGATAGGGATGAAGGCTAGACCGGCTTTGTGGGACGTTAGTGAGCGTTTCGGAGGGTTTGCAGGGCATTTTCGGCCTAGGTGCCCGCTTTTTTGCACTGGCTACCACGCGATTAGCGCGTTGCTTTGTGCTTTCAGCCGATATACCTACTGCGGCCTGCCGCTGGCCTTCATGTTAAGGTTCCTTACTATAATTATAGTATAATATACCCCAAAAACCTATTCTAATTATTAAAGCCCCTATAGTAGTGCTCAGTGGTTCGTACTTCCACCAATGCCACGAACGCTGAGCACAGGCAGCAAGGTCCTCGGAAGAAGATGCTTGCATCTGGGAGGCACGCAAGCGTGGGCGGTGCCGGTTCTTCTGACTGGAGTGTTACTCACATTCGCAGAGATACTGTTGGAGGGTTAGAAGTTAGAGCTCTCTGTTGTTAGCTTTCGAGCCGCTGACTTGCAGGGCATGGTACTCCGAGTTCATCACACCGGATGTGGCAGTGCAGTCCGGAAGAGCACCCTTCGAGTACAAGCCCGCGAACTCAGACCTGCCAGAGTTCCGCTGCACTTCCCGAGTTGAAGGCTCACTTCACGGATGGGTGCACGTTGCCAAACCTTACGGAGAACACTCGTAGAACTGTATGTGTGTGTGTGTGCCTTTGCACCCTCGAGTATTCCTCTGTGGAAACAGTTGCCACGGACGCCGCTCTCATCCTTCTGATTCTGGTGGTTTCTGAACTGTACAGGTTCTTTGCGGTCAGGGTTCTATGATATAGCGGCCTTAAGTAACAGATTCTGGAATAGCTTTGCAGGATATCACCCGCCTTAGTCTTCGGGCCTTGTCCTGACCGAGGCTTTCAGTGCTCTACTACCCCATGACCCACTTCGAAGTCATGGTCTATTTCGCGTTCCCAATGGAGCAGCAGGCTTACAGAGGCAGTCATACTTGCAGCGCCCGTCGCAGGCAGCTTGTCACGTAATCCGGTACTACTCTGTGCTGACAGGCTTGATGTCAGGACAAGCAGTAGCAGTGTGTAGTAGTGTAGCTTGCAATTAGAAGTACAAGTAGTAAGTAATAGTCGTCGTAGTAGTAGCACTAGCACTAGCACTAGCACTAGCACTAGCAGTGGCAGTGGCAGTGGCAGTGGCAGTGGCAGTGGCAGTGGCAGTGGCAGTGGCAGTGGCAGTGGCAGTGGCAGTAGCAGTAGCAGTAGCAGTAGCAACAGCAGCAGCAGCAGCAGTAGTAGTAGTCGTAGTGGTAGTGGTAGTGGTAGTGGTAGTGGTAGTCGTAGTCGTAGTCGTAGTCGTAGTCGTAGTAGTAGTAGTAGTAGTAGTA